CATCATTCCTACTATATATAATTCGCTAAGTATGTCTGTGTGTGTGTGTGTGTGTTTGTCACGAAATTCGTAGCTCGGGTCACAGCAATGATAGCGCCATGGTTCTTACATATGTTATAGGGGGTGGGATGGGGACACAAGTGGTACGTGATAGGAACTGATAACGACTGATAATAGCTGATAAGAGGGGCTAGAAAGCGAGCATCGCCAATTTCGTTTTGTCGTTCATATTGGTACTAGAGCGTTATACTTATCGTATAGCATACAAGTGTTGTTTTTGCCCCGGGAAGTTTGGTCCCGAGACATTGGTGGTACATGAATGAAAGCGATAGCAATTGATAAGGACTGATAAGGTTCGTCAGAACACAAAAGTCGTCAATTCCGTTACGCAGCGTGCGTTGACACTAGTGCCTCCTATGATCGACAAAGTGTTATGTGGCTGGACGGGGACATTGTTGAAGGGTGATTTAAAGTGACTGTAACTGATAAGGGCTGATAAGATGCGTCAGAAAGGCAAAAGTCGTCGATACCGTTACCTGGCTCGCGTTGTGATACCAAAGCATACCATACTTACAGTGTCATAAGGGGATGGGACCGGGAAACTTTGTTGTGCATGAAGTGACTGCGATAGCATAATAATTTGATAAAGGCTGATAAGGCGCGTCAGAACGCAAAAGTCGTCGATTCCGTTACTTCGCTCGCGTTAAATACCAAAGCAACCATACTTACAAGTGTCATAAGGGGGTGGGACGGCAACATTGTTGATGAGTGATTGGCAGTGATAACAATTGATAAAGGCTGATACGGGGCGTTCAGAACGCAAAAGTCGTCGATTTCCGTTACCTGGCTCGCGTTGACACCAGAGCAACCATACTTACAAGTGTTATGTGGGATGGGACGGGGACATTGTTGTGGGTGATAGAAAGTGGTTACAATTGATAAAGGCTGATAAGGCGCGTCAGAACGCAAAAGTCGTTCGATCCCCGCGGTTAACGCTGACACCCCAACTCGCACATCCAATCCTGATTCGTAGTTGGTATGTTCTATTGCTTATGCAGTTGTATGATGGCACCTTACGTTAATAGCATGTTTGACTTGCGAGTAGAACTCAATCAAGTCTTCAGCAAATGATAACTTTCGTTTCTATCAAGAAAGCCCAAACTCATTAAACCGCTAATCCTTTCGGGGTTCTAAATAATGGTGAATGTAAATAAATGATAAGCCTTAGCTTCTCACTTATGTAAATAGGCATATTTCATCTTGAGACTGACAGCAATCCTATCCTTCTTATTTTATAAGCGCTAACTTTGTGTGTCGGTTTGTGTATCTGTAGTGTTCTTGCCTGTGGTGGCCTTCTGTATGTGTGTGTGTGCTGTGTGTATGTGTGTCCGTCCGCAAAATGAAGTGAGTGAGAAGGAAGCTCATGGGATAAACAAACCGCTAACAAATCGGGTAGCTTACAGGATTTGAGATATCAATGTTTTGTAGCAGGATAGTTGTGATAACACTCTTAGGGCTATATAAACACCTGCTTAGCACACTTCCGTTCATTCCACATGGTGCTGCAGTGGCAGCTGGAGGGCAGTGGAGAGAGGAAGGGAGGATGAGGAAGGGAAGCGAAAAATCTACCGTCATATCATGATTGTGTCCCTTCTACTGTATGAAACACCATTGTGTTGCATACGCGTCACTTCCAGGTGTTGGTGTCACAGGAGGAAGGGACCATAGCGGAGGATAGAAAGCTTGCGCAGGAAAGGAAGGTCCCGGCGGTTGACGGGGGACTAATCTGGTTCACCGCTAAATTATCTGAATTCAAGAATGCTGGATGTTTACAGTTGTGAGATAAATATGCCAGTTCAGCTCCAGACGTTATCACGCGTATTCTCGATGGACTTCAGCGAAACTGGGAAAGGTCTAACACATTCAATAGTGAGGTGGTTAATGGAGTACCTCATGCTGATATTCCATGGGTCCTCCAGTTTCGCTAAAGCCTGCCGTGTGATGCGCGCGATAGCGGGCGGAGCAAAACTGGTTATTACAATAAGCAGCATCTCACGTTAAACTACAAGGAACTATCCTTGGAAATGGTGGGGCTGATCTACAACTACTACTTCCATTTCTTCCTTTCTATGCAGTACAACTCGTGTTTTTTCACTGACCGGAAGCAGTTGGAGGGCGCTGGGCCGGCGGTGCCATCCACCGTGTTTTTTTTTCTGCAAATGCGCTTCCATTCAAGGTCCTAGTAATGTAAATGACTTGAAGAACAACTAATGTGCGGCGTTTGTCGAGCTTGCAGAATTACGGGGAATTTGGTTGGTAATATAAACTCAGCTTCCATTGCATACCGGCTGGATCGATTCAAGTGTCACTTTCTGATGATCTGCGGTAAATGCTACGTCGGTTCATAAGGGTGTGTCTACACTTTCGCCACTATTTTCATGATGTCTGAAGGTAGTACAGAGTGACCGAATCTGCGAAGGGCTCAGAAAGCGTGGAAGGTCCGGTGTCCGCTCTGAAAGAGCCGTGCGACAAATTAAAGGCGATGAACATGATAGCTGAGAGGTGGGCGATTTCGATGACGTCACTGGTGGACCAAACCCCTCAACGCGCTAGGGGCGTGGTTGAGACAACCTCTCAGCGCCCTTCTACCAGTCACGCTCAATGACGTCGCCAAAATCGCTCCGCCCTCCAGTCATCGTGACCACTTTTTTCTGAAAAGACGCAACAATTAGTACAAGTTCACGAGTACTTGAACTGAAAACGTTCGTGATCGTCAGGGCTTATCTGCAATATCGCAGGCTTTCCACCATTGTACTGTATTTTGGTAATTTTATGTAATAGTGCCTTAATCATGGTCTGTTTCAGCTTTCTCAAGGCATCTGCGATATTTCATTCGTCACCTCACCGTACGAGTTTTTCACTGAACTTCGTGACTCATCAGCCTCTCCACGGACCTCTCGCCATGAAACTGCTTCACCTCCGCTCATTACTCCATCCACCTCGCACCCCTCCTCTTCTGCTCAACTTCCCCCTACACTCACAGCGAATAATGACAACAATGCCTCCAGGTACGGTTTCTTTCCAATTGATTTGCTGCTTGGGTACTGAGTTACTGTGCTGATGTGCCCTGATATTGTACAGTAATATAGTTCCCGAGTGGTTGCGTATTCCCAAAAGGTAGACTCTTGGGGACATTTCTAAATATTTTTCCTTTCTTTTTTCCGGTAGAGAGTGGGAAGGCCCAATCAGTGTAAACCGTGCGTTGCGCAATTCTCAACGAGTGGAAGCATCTAAGCTTTATCAGAGGGGGAGGGTCGTATTTTGGGTTGGTGAAGGTCGAAGAGTTGAAAGGGGTTGTATTTTAGAAGTTAAGGGGTCGTGGTGGCAGAAGATGGGGTACTGTTTGAAGGGCTTGTGACTTACAAGAGAGGTCGTTCAGGGTGTGCCAACGCTTTTACAAGACGGTCTTTTGCATGATATAGGGGCACATGCGGGAACACAGAACCACGGTTAATTTTTCCCGAACGGCTTTCTCAACAACGAAAAAGAGGTCCCTAGTCACACCTTTTCACGAGCTTTTCAATCAAAATTTATTTGTAAGGGTCACTGAAGGTGTTAGTCATGAATGTGGTGCTAACTATTCATGCTTACTTCATTTTGCGCGAATTTTGAAACGTCAACTCGAAATGCAAATATTTGTTCCCACGAGGACTCAAACTAGGACGCCTTTCTTAGTATTGGGGGGCTTTTTAGGGAAAACTTATCATTGTTCTGTGGTTCCCACCCAATATCATGCAAGAAACCATTTCGAAAAAGCTTGGCACACCCTGAACGACCTCTCTTGTAAGTCACAAGCCCTTCAAACAGCACCCCATCTTCCGCCACCACGACCCCTTAACTTCTAAAATAAATACAACCCCTTTCAACT